TTGGTAAGTTTGACCCTGCCTTGACATCGGAACTCGGCGGACTTAGAAAACACGAGGCGAGGTGGATTCTGTATAAGTTTGCCCCAGTGTAAACCCAATTCCCCTGGAAGACAACATTGTGCCCAATTCGAGATAGTATTTACCCTCATTCGTCGCACTGAACGAACTATCGTATGCCAGGTGGAAATGCCTTGGGCGGATCTCCTAAAAGCGGCTTTCAAACCGATCACTGAAAGCTGAGCAGTGAGAAACACCTACCAGATACCTAGTCCATCATCTCCAGAGGCTTTTCAGCGTTCACTTCTACAACACTGGCCTTTAAAAGATTGATCCTGTAGGCACTTCATACCAAGCACCGGCCGCGACAAGTGTATCAGGAAAATGACCTTGTTCTATCCCAGCGGGTGTGATGGAAGAGGAGAAAGGCGGATTCTGGAAACCGTCGCTTTTCTCTAGGTCGGCGGAAAACGGCGAATCCCCCAGCTTACTAACTCTCACCTATTTATTGGAGTTCTAACCGTTCTCGAATCTTCCGGCCAATGACGCGCCTGTCGCGGTGGGCATTCTGGAATATTCTGACCTACGACGTGCTGCACGTCGATTGGCCATTTTTCGCACTGGAATTCCCCGTGGAATCTCGAATATTTGGGCCGCACGTGTGAGCAAGGGATCCACGCGTACTCGATACGGTAGCGCACGCCGATTGGCTGGCTTGCTTCACGCGTACGTTCCTCAGCCGGCTTGGTCTGCTGTGACGCGCATGGTCATGTGTTCGTTTCGCCTTGGGCTGCGATTCTCTTGTGTTTCCCGTTTGCGCAATGGGCCTTTACAGTGTCGTCGCAGCTTAAGTCACGCCGAGGCGGTCCTTGGTTGATCCGGCAAGCGAGAACTGTGATGACGTTTCCAGGCGATGCGGGCAGGTCTAATGAATAGACCAATAGCCAAGATAAAGCATGACGATTAAAGGTAGGATAACGCACAGAATTAACCACTGTGGTGGTCAAGGCCGCAAACTACCATAGGTGACAGTCTTGCAATGATCATTAGGATTAAAGTTGGAAGGTGGCTAGCGCGGCTCCGTGGTGCTGGTGGATAACCGGCAAGGAATCTAGCATGACTAAGCCAAAATCAGAAAAGCTGTGGCTACATCCCTACACCTTCATTGAGATCTTGTCTAAGTCAGCCTCGATGATTGGCCGGTTTGAGCAGCCGGTAATGACCTAAAACCAGACTGCAATTGGTGCGCACGTGCAAGGCTGGGTGTTGCAATATTCATCCGGATTTGCGCCATTACAACAGTTTCCTTTGGATTACTAGAGTTCTTGTGTATGCTTTCTCCTCTAGAATATTTCCTAACTCCTCTAAAGGTTCTTTGAAATTGACTTTTGTCGCGCGTCATTTGTGCAAGTCCACAGTGACTATCTGTTAGTGGAAAGTGCTGCATATCATCGGGACCACCGCACAGTTACGTCTTATCAATTTCGGAAGTTTGGTGTCCCCACCATTCCCCTAAGCGTTTTTGGACGCCCCTCCATCAAATTCGTCGGCAATAAACTCATTAAAAAGAGGGTTTTTCCTCTGCTATCCTAGGTCGCTATTTTCCAAACCTCATAGCTACCAATCTCCAAGTGTCCAGTTAAAAAATTTCCTCGCCGTGACAATAACTTTTCGATGCAGACTCTACACACGGATTTCATGCTCCCTAAAATGGTCAACTTTTAACGATGGTTCTAGGAGTGTGTTTACAAGCTGCGTTTGGTCAACGTTTGCTCTGGTTCCACACGTTCCATCAAGGTCTTCGGTCATGCGTCGGCTGCTCTAAGTGAAATAGATTCGCTTTCGGATTTATTCTGTCACGGGTGGCGACACTTCCGACATTGCTAAAGGCGCGTTTTCTACGACACCTTCAGGATTGGACTCTGATTTAAGTTTCCTCTCTGAAAAGATTTAATCACGAATCCCGGTGCGTATCCTGTATCCGAAGTTCGCCATCACAGGTCCCCAATCATCGCGTCCCGCACACGCTTGCACGTGGACACCAACTAACGCTGAGTCATTTAACGTCGCTAGGCTCTCATGAATGCCTTATCTCGTCCGCCAAACATCGGTGTGGACGCAAGACGAAATCTAATCCAACGCCTACCTGACCTGCCTAAGACACTGAGACCTGGTAAACGCAACAACATGGTAAAGAAGATGAACAAGCGATCTCTAGAACGGTAGGTGTATTAGTCTGAACTTTCGCTCTCGTACAGCAGGTGAGCGTCAGAGACTGTGAGAATGCAGCATCAAGTGAGCAGTTTTTGTAGTCAAGACATGAAGGGGGGGATATGAGTGCAGAGAGTGGTATTCGCGATAAGCTGAGTCCCACACCCTCTCACAGCGGCGTGACTGCGTGCAACCCCGCCTGGAAATTCGGTTTCGCCTCTTGGCCGTAGGAACGGAGCGCGTAATGGGGGGGGGGGGGGGGGGTGTATGTCAACGTGTTTGTTGATAGAGTTGGTGTCAGACACCCAGGCCTCCAACAGTTCTCACCCTGTCTTATTGCTGGCCCACGCTACTATCCGCGTGGTCGCGAAGTCGAATTCGTGGCCTTCCTCCAGAGTGAGTGGCGAACTGAGACAACGACTCGCCTCTCCACACCGCCCGTTTATGCTCCGTTATTCGTGAGCTAAGTCATCGTCCGGTCTGTCCTGTGTAGTGGGGAGGGCAGTTCCGACATGGGATCTGATAAACGACACTCGATTGTTCTCCCACGTCTATTCGGTCCTTCACTCGCATGATTTTGTTGCTCATGGTCGCTCTCGGACGGTGATCGATACCTACGCCGAGCTCTCCATCGATACGTTCCATCGTTTCGGACACATTCTTTATATATGGTAGAGGGTGCCAGGGTGTTGGCGGCTCTCCTGCGTTTGTTCGACGTGGATGCATGCGGAGGCAGCGGCCGACGAAGCTGTTCGGGTATCCATTCTGAAGATGGCACAGTTTGGAAAATTGAAAACGGAAAATTGAAACCCGAATACAAGACGGACGAAAAGGTGGTACACAATCTATCTTGTAGGCAGTTAACGGAACAAGAACTGAGAGTGCTGAGTCGGGAAGCCAACTTTAATACGACAGATGCTAAATTAGCCGAATTTGTCGTCGCACTTGAAGCCATGCTAGTAAGAGCCAAGGCAAGAGGCCAAGAGGCGAAACCGAATTTCCAGGCGGGGTTGCACGCAGTCACGCCGCTGTGAGAGGGTGTGGGACTCAGCTTATCGCGAATACCACTCTCTGCACTCATATCCCCCCCTTCATGTCTTGACTACAAAAACTGCTCACTTGATGCTGCATTCTCACAGTCTCTGACGCTCACCTGCTGTACGAGAGCGAAAGTTCAGACTAATACACCTACCGTTCTAGAGATCGTTTGTTCATCTTCTTTACAAAAAGAACCTGGGATTCGCATATTCGCTTCCATCCGCAACTACATTGGTCCAGCCTTCATGCCACCCGATGCGATTCTGTCTGAAACCTCTGTCCAAAGTGGAGCTCACTACCGTGCCTTCCCCCTCTACTGCTGTGGGGGAGGAGTGGTGGTTAAGGCGAGCCCAATGGTTTAACCGTCACAGTACTTTCGCGTGTGGAGACTGGCCTCGGCAATTTCGTTGAGATTGTCCGTTTGCTAAATAATTTAAATCATTTCCTAGCTGTTTGCGCCCTCGCAATAATCCCATTTGTAAGCCTTCGCCTCCAAACTTTACTTAAGAATTCTGCGAAAATTCCCATATTATGATTGAAAAGTCAGTCGGCGTGCGATCACCACCTGCAATAGGCCAGGGAAGACAGACTGCGTGTGTCAATGTCTTTTGACAACGGAGCGCTAGATTTGCTAATCGAATGGTCACTGCTTTGGCTGTTGCTAGCGCCAGTTTGCGTAGGCCTTTGGAGTGGTCTGCTTGCGCCCAGTAGATAGCTTGAAAGGTTTCTTTGGCGTTTGACCAACCCTGCCCCCAGAGCCACCTAAATCTCGCCCATAACTCACAAGTTCATTGTTCGTGTAAGTGTATTGGCCTGTCGATTAATTGCTAACTGACTTTACTCGGGCAGTCGACATTGTTGTGTGTAACAATGCATGCTAGCCCTACGAAAGTTCGGCAGCCACGAGGATGTTAGGATACGCGGTGGCTTTTCGTGCAAGCGCTCACACGTTTGGAGCGGCAGCAGCAACGGTCGCAAGCGCACACAACTGGGTAGACTACGTGGACTGACTTGAGGCGTTAGTCGGCAGCCCTCCAAGCCACGACCCTTGATGTGCCGTGATAGTCTCAGACTCGGATAACACATGCAGCATAGGGGCCGCATGGAGACGGAGCGGAGACGCACAATTCCCACTTGCGTGGGAGGTGCCAGTTGGATGCTTGTGGTGGGTGTTGATGTTGTGTGGTGAAGGTTGTGGAGTATGTGATGGTGTGGCGTAGCTAGCGGTTGTCTACCGCAGGTTTTCGGGAATGTGCATGTGGCCTAATAGGCCCATGTGGTGGTTGGATGTACGTGTGCAGTGAGAGCAGTTGAGGCGGAAGCGGCGAGTGTATGGGTGTGCTTCAGGTACTGATTCGCCGGTTTCTGTGTGAGGGATTCGCCAACGACCGAGCAGACCGATGTGTGAGGCAAATGTACAGGAACAGTGTGCACAGGAAAAGTCGGCGGTGTCCTTGTCGGTTTCGGAGATAGTGGCAGTGGTGGGATTGTTGATGATGGACACGCTGGGCGACGAGGTGTGCGTTGGGTTAGGCATGGTGGGTGAGTAGGATGTGCTGCGTGTGGTGGCGCTGATGGTGTTGGGCCTGCTGGGCGGTGAGGCGTGGGCTGAGCATGATGCAGCAAGTGTATCGAGACTGCTGTCAAGCCCGCTCTCTTGGACACTCATGTTACCGAATAGACTCATGCGGTAAGTGAATGTGCGGGGGCAGTGTAAACAATGGAGGCCGATGTTGTGAATGTATGTGGGTGCTTTAGGTACTGGTACGCCAGTCTATGTGATGGATTCGTTTCAATATCCATCTAAGACAGCTTAGGTGAAAGTAAGTGAGTTTCCGCGCCTGCATCTTGTACACTGTCCAGGTCTCTGCTTCGTACAGCAGTGTCGGCAGGATGACTGCCCTACACATCTTCCGATTGGTGTTGAGGTGGAGACCGTGGCGATTCCAGACTGTGGTTTTCAGACGGCAAAAGGCCTGACTGGCTTTGAAAATCCGGCGGACCACTTTATCGTCAATCTTGGTGGCGCGGGAGAGGGTGTTGCCGAGGTAGGTAAAGTTGTTCACGACCTGCATTTGGGCGCCATTCACGTGGATTTGGGATGCGACGTAGGCAACGTCGGATGGCGGCTCGTGCATGACCACCGTCTTCTGCGTGTTGATGATCAGGCTGAAGTTCTCGCAGGCGGCGGAGAAGAGATATATACTCCTCCGCATGTCTCCATCAGTAGTTGCATTAATGGCGCAGTCGTCGGCGAACAGTGGACGGTGGTTGTGGATACACGCGACTGGAAGTGCAGCCGCCGGCCGTCCGTCCCGTAGGCGACGCAGATCCCGGGACGTTCGTCACGGTAGGCGTCCAGCAGCATGGCAGAGAACATAAGATTGAAGAGGGTAGGCGCCAGTACGCAGCCCTGCTTCACTCCATTGGTCACTGCGAATGCCTCTGAGACAGCTCCGTTGTCCGTGACTCGCGCCATCATACCGTCGTGCAGCTGACGCACCATCTGAGTGAATCGCTCCGGACAGCCGAATTTCTGCATGATCTTCCACAGTCCTTCACGATTCACCGTGTCGAAGGCTTTCGTCAGGTCCACGAAGGTAGAGTACGGGTGGGTCCGCATCTCCTGACACTTCTCCTGAAGTTGACGGGCGGCGAAGATCATGTCCGTGGTCTCACGATGACGACGGAAGCCGCATTGGCTCTCCGGCAGTAGATCCTGTTCGAGATGGTTGTTGAGGCGGTTGAGGAGAATGCGAGCGAAGATCTTCCTGGCGATGTTCTGCAGGGAAGTGCCTCCATGGTCGTCGCAGAGCTGACGGTTACCTTTTCCCTAGGGAGGTGGACAACTTTGGCGTCCTCGAAATCCTGCGGGGCTTCTCCTTGACGCCACACCTCTTGCGAGAGTGCAGTCAGATGATCAATGAGATAGGGGTCACCGTGCTTTAGATCCCGGCAGGGATCGTGTCCGCTTCGGACGCTTTCCCGCTGGACAGCTGCTGCTCGGCCCTGATGGTTTCGTGTAGACAGGACGGGAGGTCGAGGACGGCGTTGATCTCCACTTGAGGCAGACGGGCGATGGTGGCGCCGGAGATGGTGGAGCGGCGGTTTAGGATGCCTCAGAAGTGCTCGACCCATCGCTGTAGAATTTGTGTCATCTCAGTGAGCAGGGTTTGGCCGTCGGCGCTGAGAAGAGGAGCCGTTGCTTTGGTTGGGGGACCGTAGGCGACCTTTATCGCGACGAAGAAGCTCTTCCATCCATTGCGATCCGCGTACCATTGGATCTCCCCGACCTTACGATCAGTCCAAGCGTCCTGCATCTCGCGCAGTCGCTGTCGCAGAAGGCGCCGACTACGGTAGAAGGCTGTTGTCTTGTCGTCGGTGGGACGGTTGACGTAGGCCTTGTGCAGGTGGTTCTTGTCAGCGAGCAGGTTGCTGATGGTGGCGTCGCTGTAATCGACCCAGTCCTGGCTTTGTCAACGTACGCAACCGAGGACAGCCAGGGCTGTCGATTGGACTGTATCCCCCCCATCGGTCGTCCACGGTGGCATTGTCTTTGGCGCAGCTGCGGCCACCGCGGCGGCGACTGAAAGGTTGGCTAGCCTTTAGGCCAGTTCGTTGCTGCGATGGAGCAAGCAACGAAAACAAAACAATACCTAACTTCCCATGTGGTCGCTTCCCTTGAAGACTCCTGTAAGGCTGTAGATGAATACGCATTTTCGAGATGACGAGGCAATGGTCTGTCCACCCGTCAGCAGCCGTGATCGCCTTTGTCACCTGCACGTCCCGCTAATCTCGCCTCCGGACGAGGACATAGTCCAGCAGGTGCCACTGACGCGACCGAGGATGCCTCCAGGTGGCCTTCTCTCGCTCCGGCAGACAGAAGAACGTGTTCGTCAGGATGAGGCGGTGTTCTGCGCAGGTGTGGAGCAGCAGCAGACCATTGTCGTTTGAGCCGCGGAGACCGTGGGGACCCAGCACTCCTCTCCAGGCAGTGTGGTCTGTGCCGACGCGAGCGTTGAAGTCGCCAAGGACAATCAACTTGTCCGCCTTCGACACAGTCGCCAAGAGGGCGTGCAGGTCCTCGTAGAATTTGTCTCTTGCGGCGGCGTCGGGGCTGCTCATCGGCGGAGCATAGGCGCTGATGATGGTGGCGAATTTGCCCCCACCCCGGAGAGACAGATGAGGGCTCATCAGGCGATCGTTGATGCCCTGCGGCAAACAGGGCGGTCGTTCCACGATGTCGTTCCGGATGGCGAAGTCGACACCCGCCTCTCGTCTCTCTGCCCTGGGGAGACCGCTCCAGAAAAAGGTGTAACCGGCACCCGCCTCCTCCAGTTGGCCTTCTTCAGAGAATCGGGTCTCGCTGGGTGCGACGATCTCCACGTTGTAGCGCGCCAGTTCCCGAGCCACTAGCGCTGTCCTCCGTTCCGGTCGGTTGCTCCTCGGATTGTCTGACAGGGAACGAATATTCCAGGCTGCCAGAGTGTGCGGACTCACGCTATTAGTCTGACGATTGGGGCGGAGGGGAGAACGAGAGGAAAGAGAGAGCTTGTTGTTTCCTGTTTGGTTGTGTCGACCGTGAGTGACCGTGTCTGAGGCCATGATCAGCCTGCGGACGGCGTGGATCCCTAGCACTTGTTCAGGGCAACTTTTCTAGCAGTTTCCCCTCGCGGGAGTGAGCAGTGCTCTCCTTAAATAGGGCTGCTCATTTTTCCCAGACGGCTGCCGAACTCCACTATGGGCTAAGTCTTTTGTTTAGTGGGAGAACGGCCCTAGTTTGCCTGGGCCTGCCTGGGTGGGGATGGCGTAAGGGTAGACAGACGGGAAGCAGAGCTTTTCCGTCCCTCTCTAAGCGGACTGGCTGCTGAAATATAAGCGCTGAGCAAACAGATTTAAAAGAATGGCAGTTAGCGTAGAGCAGAACAAGCAGAAACATGCAGACGAAGAGCAAGCAAGCAGGGACAAGCTAAAGCAAGGACAGAGAGAGGGAATTAAACGGAACGGCATTTGGCTTACAAAAAGAACAAATACAAACGAGCAGACAGAAAGCAAGCAAGCGAACAAAGCAAAGACAGCAGAGCAATGTTCGCTTACCTGGGGGCTCACTTACCTTGTGGACTCCAGCGGTGTTGCAGATGGGGTCTCGTCTCGGAGATACCGAGGCGGTGATCCATCCGGCCAGTGGAACCGAGTTATCGTGCGTGTTGAGATGCACACACGGACACCCTCACCTACTTTAGACGGCCGACCGAGGCGGTTACCAGGGTGTGGCCGCTAGGCAGAGCCTAGCTTCGGGGAGCCACATGTGAGAGTTGGATGCCAGTTAATGGACGCTAGGCGTAGTCAACACCTGCAAGCAAGTGAGCGGTCTACCACGACCGTCACGTGGACCCACAACTGGACATCTCTACACCCCGAAGTCACACTCGAATACTTTGTTAGAGACAGAATCAGATGAGGATAGGGAGTCGCAAACGTGCTGCAGTATTTGCAGGATGCATTTCCAACGCCACTGCATGCTTGTAAAAATTGACAGTTGTCGAATTCATTGGAATTCCACGTCAGGCGATAACTGTCGGACTCGTCAGGGTTTACAGTATGCAGTTGATAAGCACCTGCATGCTTGTCATAATTAGCGACCCCCGCGCTCACCGCAGGTGGTTAAACGTGGTGCGAAAATGACATAGTTGTACGCAGTCGGGTCGCTCATTGCCGGAATTGTATCACAAGCGGGTTCTTGAGTCATTTGGCCGGCCGACACTGACCGACTCCTTTGCCTAGGCAAAGTCTTGACGCGGAATGTGGAGGGGGAGGTCACTGCGTCAGTTACTCGACTGACAACCGGAAAACCATGACTCTAACAGTTCGCGACTTACATAGTTGCCACCTCCCGCGAGAATTTCGGCCTCATCAAACCTGGGGTGTGGCTGAGCCCCGTCGAATAAGCCGCGACTTGAAATCTGCCGTCGTTTTTCCTTCACTTCTTCTGCGTGTTCGGCCATCCGTGTCAAGATTAATCTCCAGGCTCCTTAACATAGTTGTTCTGCCCACAAATGGGCCAGACTCGGTAAATGACTGCAAACGTTTCTTTCCGTGGCAGTGGGTTTTTCGTCCAGCTATGCCCCATCGTTCCTTCTTCTTTCTACTCCCCCAAAAGGAATGGTTTTTACGCCCACTTTCCCGGTCTTTTCGCCATAGACCCTTCTAATCCCCGACCCTTGGAAATAGATAATTGTGCGCGTTGGAAGTGCCAAACTGCAGAAGTTACGGTTTGACCAAAGGTCATCATGACCTATTTGCGTATGCAAATTATGGTCTCCGTAGTTAGGAATAAGTAGGCTGCTGCATGCGCCATTCCGCTAACAGCTCTGGCCGCGACCACAGGATTAGCGTGTTGGCATCGACGTGTGCGGTGGTAGTTCACTCCTACCCGCTGAAAGTGGATGCCGCCCCGACGAAAATGTGTGCAACAGGCCATAAGTGGGTGTGCGCTCGCTTGGCATTTTGCGTGTGTGTGCATTCTTATAAACACGGGGTGAAAACCCGCACGAGCTTTCATCATCTGCTTGTTGTTGGCGAATTCGATCATTCCCCATCTGTGGACCGGTATATGCCCGTGCCAAGGTTTGGTTTGACCTGCAATTTATTGAACTTACGCACATATTAACAAACTAAAATCACGTCGGTTGGGCGCAGGCATGTGAAACCTACGCGACCCATATGGAGCTATCGACAAAAAACGGGGGTCGAAAACCCAGTGACATAAAAAGTAGACCATTTTAACAGTATAAAAACTGTCAGTATTACTAGCATGGGAGGTTAAACGATGGCTCCGTTCAACGCAGGCGAAGTAGTTCTTTAGTTTTGCATATGAATGGGCTCTAGATTCACGTCCTTAAAGTTTTCCTTTAATCAGCAAGTCTCAGTCATATAGCTATTTGTACAAAGATATTCCGAAATTTCATCATAACGTTATGAAATATGGAAGAGACATTTGTCGTATGGCAATAACCATTCACTGACAGAAAGACCGGAATGGTTGACTTTCCTCGTTTCATGTTCGGACGCCCGACTTATAAATTATGGATTTGACGGCGGCTATCCACGAGCTGCTTGTTAATGAGCATACCTTGCTAACCCGATGCTCGACCAACTGAGCCACAGACTCGTTCCCCTGTGGGTTGCGATCGGGAGTATTAACTTATCTTGGGCGTGCGTTCGTTGGTCGCACAGCGACTAGGAATGTATACTAAAGATATACCGACAAAGATAATGGAGACTGAGGTGGGTATTTCCGGCCTATTAGCCGTTGTCAGCCGGTCCCACCAAAACGCGGGTTTGCAGGACCTGAGTTTCCGTTGTTTTTTCCGCTACGGCTGTCAGGACATATTTCTAGTCGCTATGCGGCTGCCTGCGAGGTCTCCAGATTGAGCCCCAAGGCAGCACCGGACGTGCATGTCCTGTAACCCGACCGGCAAACACGCGCCCAACATGAGTGAATATCCCCGATCGCAACCGACAGGGGAACGAGTTTGTGGCTCAATTGGTAGAGCGTTAGACTTAATAACACGTAACAACAAAAGAACGCGTGTTCCAGGCGTAGGATACGCAAACCTAGGCTTGGGAAAGGCTGACTAACGACTGCTGATAAGCCAGAAATGGCCATCTCAATCTCTCTTTTCCCTATCGATGGCCTTTATTTGCAATTTGACACTTGCTTGCATGTTAGATAAACCTTATCGAATTCTGCGTCGATTGTATCCGAATCTGTGGAAAGAGTCATTTCGAAATTACCGTCATAGGGCTCAGATGAAACTGGCACACAGAGTAAACTTCGGAGTAAATTACTTAATGATAGTTTGGTCGTCGCGGACGACGTCGTGCAATTCCTGCTCTACGGAATGGGCGCAGCACCAGCGACTTCGCGTGACTTAATTTATGGAGGAACAGACTTGCGCAGCATCTACCGCACCTTCTCCTTCCTCACCCAAATTGCTCCGAGAACAAGACAATGTCATTGTGATAGGAGCCAAAAAGCAAGCCCCGGGAAGCAGTTGTGAAGAAGGAGATTCGATCGCTGGAACAAGAATTGTCTTCGTCGGACTTTTCAGGTTCTCACTCGAACCCGTCATCCAAGACAGCCACAGATTATAATGATGGACGCACCCGAGTGTGGTATTTATGGGTTGCAGTTGTCATGTCATCTCATATCTACATCAGCCGACAACTCCCACTTTCACCGTCGGTGCACGTAATTGATGTGAGAAATGTGAGCTCGTCCTCATCCATGTCATTAGTTGCCACATTTTCGTCGCCAGTTAGTCGGTGGTGTGATTACTCGGCCTTCTGATACTGCCACTGGAAGCGGTGTTAGTCCGCACCCACCTCATTTGGCTAATTACTCAGGCAAGGATTCAGAAATGAGGTCGTTGTCCTTGTTGTTGGACTGCTGGCCGGAGAACCATGGCTGAAGCAGCTTGCGGCTTACGCGGTTCTCACCACTCAAAAAAGCTCCAAACTAATCGAACGTCAAGGTATTACTGAGTCCCATCGAACGAACTGCAACCGTGCAACTGTTGTCATTCCTCCTTGATGCTGCTGTTTGTTCAGTCTTCCTAGTTCAGGTTAAATCCCCGTTTCCCGGCGTAGTTGATATGCTCCCAACTGCACCATACCTGGTAAACAACTCCAGACGTTTCCTGCTGGGCAGTGGATATTTCGGCCTCATTACTTGGCATCTGGCAGTTACCTCTGGTCCGTGCAAAAATCCAACTACAAGTGTTGAGTACGCAAGGGAGATGAGAGACCAGGCTACCTCGACCCAAACTTTTGGCGGGAGGTCGCGCTAGTCAAGGGCGCCTCAGAAGCCGTCAGTCACCTTCTCACATTAGTTGGAGTTCGAGTTTCATACGGATCAAAGACAAGCTTGCAGTTGACCACTGAGTGACAAAATCCACTGTCAGATGCCATCTCACTCTCCAGCTTTCGCCTCAGAGAGTGGTCCTCGTGGCTAGCGCGAATGTTGAAAAATGACTGCATTAGGAGAAGACTGTGGCTTGGTTCATGAGATGAGGAATTAGTCACGTTAGCAAAACTGTATGAACACCCGAAAAATTGAGGGGAATGGCAATCTAATCGAAGAACCGTTGCCTAAAAAGTTCCAGAAATTGAGATGGTCGCTTCGGTCTTACTTTTCGCCGTTAATGAAGCGTGACCTAAACCCAGGCCAGGAAGATGTCAGATTTTGACCTGGTCAGTCGCTCGAACAATTTTGCCACGAGCTCCAACTGAGAGCTGTGATCCTACATACGCGAAGTCACGCGGGAACGACGTTCACCAATCTGTTCTGCCTACAGGACGGAATACGAAGTTCCGCTTCATCTTTGTGCTCAGTTGTCCTCCCATATGTTAATCAGACGCGAAGGCGATGACGCTGCGTCTCATTGTCGTGGTTTAGTGTGAGGTCCAAGGACACTGGCTCGGCCAATCAGCGGACATGCAGATGCTGATTGTGATCGGCAGTCATACGACACACGGTCCGAAACGTTTGAACTGATGCGGTCAGCAAAACAGCAGAAGTTTGCCTTCTCCGCGGGTGACAGTGGGCTCAGAACGCACACGTAACAGTGATCGCCACTCCATATTCCTTATGATAATCTCAACCGCCTGCAGGTCGTTGAAACAAATGTGAAATGACCTCGAGTTCGACCAACGAATTAGTTCGGCCATGGGTTACGTTGTTGTTGTTTTTGTTGTTGGGTGAGTAAGACCTTATACCTGAATCGTTCATCTCGTAGACCAAGCCATAGTCTTCTCCTACTGGAAGTATTTTTCAACGTTCTTGCTAATCGTGAGAGTTCTTCTCTGAAACGAAGGCGGGGAGAGCAAGAGTGCATCTGAAGTAGGACGGTGTCGCACAGTGATCAACTACAATTTTGCGAAAGGGCTGCTATGAACAGCTATCTTAAGTTGTTTTTGATGAATGCGTTGCCTTCTTTACTTCTGCACCGTATTAGTTAGTTTACTTGACAGCTTCAAATGGGGGCGTTTATGCCGTACCCTGCAGAGCCGTCACGTGACGCCGTGAGGTCATTCTGCGCCCTACCTAACACGCATTAGCACATCAGCAAAAATCATCAGTGCACACCAGTCATAGTCCACTCCTCTCGCTGATTGGTTCCGTCTGCAGTCTGTACATATCTGCCTCGACATTTTTTGTTCAGTGGCCATCGACTTCACCTCCGCGGACGTTGGCTGCTGAACAGAGATGAATTCTTGCCTTGTTCAATTTCCGAGGAAATTAATGCGCGAACTTGAAGTACATCTTTCGAAGCGGGCCTTTTCAGGCACGGTCGAAAGTTTGATATGAATATTTGAGCTGAAGTCCATCAGCTACTTCCGCAGTTCGTGAAACCGACACGTTCGGACTTTCTACCTTGAGAATTTGCAGTGCTCTGAAAGTGTATTTGCCCCAAGTTCGAGTCAAGGTGCACTTTCAAACAGTTAGAAACTATGCGGAAGCTGCTTCTCATAGCAATTTCTGTGCTACAACATGCTTGCTCATGACATCCGAATGGCAAAACAGAAAAAATGTGTCAGTGTCTCAACCTTAATTTCTCTATTATCAGGACTTGATGACTAAATACTGACACCTGATGGAAGCGCTGTACTCCACTAAATGAAATCTGCACCTCGTATGCACAAAACTAAATGATGGCACACTGCCACGGGAACCAAAAACAGTTTTCGAAACATAACTAAACCGGGAAAGTGTCAGGCATAATCGCCTGCAATTTAAAATTTTCTTAGGTGGTTTTCCGAAAGTTAATCATTAGAAAGCTCCGTGATATTTGCAGCTTTTGCGGTTGTTCATTCTGCCCCGTGATCTTAGTATTAGTGATGTTACCATTAGTAATATTATTGGCAGTCATGGTACGCGCAGTACCACTGAAAAACGGTAGTGTTGTCGGCGAAATTCCCCTCTCACCGAGGATATATTCGTTTATGAGAGAGAGAGAGAGAGCTGTCTGTGAGCTTGATTAAGAAGAAGAAGACATGCAGAACCAGCACCATTCCCTCACTGTCGCTCCTCCTGTTTCATTGAGAATATAACCATCGGTGCATCTATATGATAACGAAGCGGTCAGTCTTTTCAGCCTGAAATGGAAGAACTTCTAGCTGAATGTCGGGTAAGATCGCAGTTCGGAGCCAGACATTATGAGTTGATACTATCGACGATCTGACCCTTACCGAGGAAAGTTGTTAACAATAGGTGTGTTTCTACCAAGTTAGGCAGTTAGCCTGTTTCGGTCAGGTTGTTGGGATTAGTGTGAGGGTTAGGGTTAGGCTTAGGATTAAGTTTTAGGGTTAGGGTTTGCGTTTTGGGCCTAAGGTTTTAGGGTTAAGGTTAGGTGTAAGCTCTACGGTTAAGGTTAGTGTTAGGTTCAAGTGTTAAGAGTAGGGTTACGGTTAGGATTTTCTGGTTAGGGTTATGGCTTTGGGTTAGGTTTTAGGATTGAGGGTAGTGTTCAGGGTTAAGGTTAGGGTTAGGTTTTAGTGTCAACGTTAGGGCTGGGGTTTAGGGCTAGGACTAGGATTTTTGGTCATGGTTAGGGCTTTAGGGTTAAGTGTAGGGTCCGGTTTATGGTTAGGGTTAGGATTAGGTTTTTGTGTTAGGACTTAGGGTTAAGGCTAGGGTTGGGGTTTATGGTTAGGTTAAGCGTTGAGGTTAGAGCTAGGGTTTAGGGTTAGGTTTTATGGTGAAGGTTAGGGTTACGTTTTAGGGTCGGTTGTTTGGTTAGGGTTTTACGCATAGAGTTAGGGTTTATGTATTAGATTAGCTTCCCCATTCCGGGCTACGAACTGCTATTTGACCGAATGTCGTCCAGTCTAACATTGTCCGTGTTAATTTGGAATCTCCCCCAACCCAACGAAGTGGAGTTGGTGACGCCAGTACCAGATCGTCCACCCAGTTCCAACTGCCCACTTGAAGGAACTCATTCCTAAATGATTGTATCCCGTTCCCCAGAATGGGAATGAAGTGAACTCGGTGCTCAAATATTTCTCGTGTTTCCGCCTGTCCCTCTGTGTGGGCATGCAGGTGCAGCCTACGTCTAGCGTCTAGCGCTCACCATCTTCATTTCAACAATGAACTAGCTCAACGGCTAGACAACCTTCCAATCGCTGCCGCCGACAACGCCGCCGCCACTGCCGAGAACGCCGCCGTGGAGAACCGCTGGTGTCAACTGCGAGACACGGTCCAGTCGACGGCACTCGCCGTCCTCGGTCGCGCTCCCCGCCAACACCAGGACTGGTTCGACGACAACGACGCCGCCATCAGAAACCTGCTTGCTGAGAAGAACCGCCCACACAAAGCCTACGCAGATCACCTCACTGAGGAGAACAAAGCTGCCTTCTACCGCAGTCGCCGCCAGCTTCAGCAACGACTGCGCGAGATGCAGGACGCCTGGACTGCTCGCAAAGCTGAGGAGATCCAAGGCTACGCGGACCGCAACGAGTGGAAGAACTTCTTCTCTGCGATCAAAGCTGTCTACGGTCCGCCGACGAAGGGCACTGCTCCTCTCCTCAGCGCCGACGGCAGTACTCTCCTGGCTGCGAAGACGCAAATCCTACAGCGATGGGCCGAGCATTACCGAGGTGTTCTCATCCGCCCCTCCATCATCTCCGACGCCGCCATCGAGCGTTTGCCGCAAGTGGAGACCAACGTGGACCTCGACCATCCGCCATCTCTCCAGGAGACCATCAGGGCCGTGCAGCAGCTCTCCAGCGGAAAAGCACCCGGATCGGACGCAATCCCTGCTGAAGTCTACAAGTACGGAGGTCCCCAACTGATGGATCACCTGACTGCGCTCTTCCAAGAGATGTGGTGTCAAGGTGAAATCCCGCAAGATTTCAAGGACGCAACAATCGTGCACCTATACAAGCGAAAAGGAAACCGCCAAATCTGCGACAATCACCGCGGCATCTTCTTGCTGAACATCGCCGGAAAGATCTTTGCTCGCATCCTTCTCAACCGCCTCAACAACCATCTCGAACAGGGTCTACTGCCGGAGAGCCAATGCGGCTTCCGTCGTCATCGTGAGACCACGGACATGATCTTCGCCGCCCGTCAACTTCAGGAGAAGTGTCAGGAGATGCGAACCCACCCGTACTCTACCTTCGTGGACCTGACGAAAGCCTTCGACACGGTGAATCGTGAAGGACTGTGGAAGATCATGCAGAAATTCGGCTGTCCGGAGCGATTCACTCAGATGGTGCGTCAGCTGCACGACGGTATGATGGCGCGAGTCACGGACAACGGAGCTGTCTCAGAGGCATTCGCAGTGACCAATGGAGTGAAGCAGGGATGCGTGCTGGCGCCTACCCTCTTCAGTCTTATGTTCTCTGCCATGCTGATGGACGCGTACCGCGACGAACGCCCTGGAATCCGTATCGCCTACAGGACGGACCGTTACCTGCTGAATCAACGACGGATGCACTTCCATTCGCGCGTATCCACCACCACCGTTCACGAACTCCTCTTCGCCGACGACTGCGCCCTGAACACCACCCCGGAAGAGGAGATGCAACGGAGCATGGACCTATTCTCCGCCGCCTGCGAGAACTTCGGTCTGGTCATTAACACGCAGAAGACGGTGGTGATGCACCAACCGCCACCCCACTCAGTCACACCCCGCAACGCGCCGCAAATCAACGTGAATGGGACCCAACTGCAAGTGGTGGAGAACTTCTCGTACCTGGGCAGTACTCTCTCCCGCAACACCAAGATCGACGACGAAGTCGCCAACAGGATCTCGAAAGCCAGTCAAGCCTTCAGTCGCCTCCAAAGCACAGTTTGGAATCGTCATGGTCTTCAACTAAGCACGAAACTGAAGATGTACAAGGCCGTCATCCTGCCGACGCTACTGTATGGAGCGGAGACTTGGACGGCGTACACAAAACAGGCACGCCGTCTGAACCACTTCCACCTCAGTTGTCTTCGTCGCATCATTGAGGCTGAACTGGCAGGACCGAATTCCCGACACTGGTGTGCTGGAACGGACGGGAATCGTCAGCATCTACATCATGCTGAGACAAATGCAGCTGTGTTGGAGCGGTCACCTGGTGCGCATGGACGACGAGCGACTACCCAAACGACTCTTCTACGGAGACGTCGCGACGGGTTCTTGCCGCCAAGGAGGCCAAATTCGCCGTTACAAGGATACCCTGAAGTCCTCCCTGAAATGCCTGCAAATCAACCCCACCAACTGGGAGAAGCTCGCACTCGATTGACCAACCTGGAGGAGGACAGTGAAGACAGGCGCTGCGATCTACGAAGCAAACCGCATAGCCGCCGCCAAAGCGAAACGTGAAGCCCGCAAATCACAACTTCGCCCTGTCCGCAACGCCGACGCACAACCGCTTCCTACGTGTCCTCGGTGTCAACGGACATTCCGTGCTCGATTTGGACTTGTCGGACATCTTCGGATCACTTACGCCTCTCGGACTGCACCAACCATTGTCCCCCCGCCTGCCTCTTCCTCGTCCTCTCCGCTGCGAACTAACTCTGACAATTCTTTTGAACCCCCACTTCCATCCTCCTCCTCCTCTTCCTCCCCCTCCCCCTCCTCCTCCTCCTCCTCCTCCTCATTCACTGTCCCAACGGCGGCCGCTCAGGCGGCCGTCTCGCACATCACCAACCGCGGCACCACAACAGGCACCACCCCCACCTCTTCCGACTCCAGCGATGAGGATCAGGACTACACCTGCCCTCACTGCAACCGCACCTTCACCTCACACATCGGCCTGGTCGGTCACTTGCGAATCCATCGCACAGAGACTGGCGAACCAGTGCCTGGAGCACCAACCTACACCCACCGCACTCGCCTCCACTGCCCACACTGCCCTCGCACCTTCACGCATCACATGGGTCTATGCGGCCACATGCGCATTCACGAGAGCGGAATTGACCACAATTCCGTCACACCCACCACATCCAACACATCCACCATGCCCAGCACCACCCCCGCTCCATCGCCATACGCGTCCATCACCACCACTACCACTACCACTACCACCACTGCTTCCTCTACAGCTGACACCGACAACGCCGACCTCTCATGCCCACACTGCCCACGCACATTCACCTCACGCATCGGCCTGTTCGGTCACTTGTGAATCCATCGCACAGAGACTGGCGAACCAGTGCCTGGAGCACCAGCCTATACCCACCAAGCTCGACTCAACTGCCCACACTGTCCTCGCACTTTCAGGCATCGCATGGGTTTATTCGGCCACATGCGCATCCACGACGACCTGCGGTAGACAACCGCCGATTACACCACACAGCCACACACTCCCTACCTTCCTCCACTACCACCCCACCACACATCAAAACTCACCCATCGCAAGCACCCAACTGTCACCTTCCACGCAAGTGGGAAGTGTGCATCTCGACTCGGCCCCCATGCGGCATCGGCTGCACGGGTGATTGAGTCCGAGACTATCCCGACACGTCAAGCCTCATGGATAGGAAGGCTGCTGATTGGCGCCCGCCCTCGGTCCACGCATTTCGTCGCGTTGTTTGTGTGTTGTGTGGAGTGGCGGACTGGTGGGCTGGGGACGGGCTGAAACAGCATCTTCCACGGCCCTCTCACGCAAGTGAGAGACACGCCGATCAACCCCCGTTGTGTGAAATCCCGGTGTTTGTGTGTATGGGGGGCCAGGTCGTGCTGTGGCGCGCGCAGGCATGGTCAGTCGACCGTGTCTGCCACCGCGCCCATTCCCCACTCCAGTCTGCTGACCGGCTCGGACAGTGGCTGGGGTGTGGAGATGGGAAGGGAGAGTGAGGTCGACGACTCAGCGCACTTTCTCCTCACTATAAACAATCTGACGCGCTTGAAGCTATCACGGTGCGCTAAAAGCCGTGGCTTGGAAGGTTGCCAACTGATGGGGTACCTTGGACCTCCTCCTTCACTGGAGGCGGTCTAAGAGTCAGGCTGCAATGGCTCCTTTTTAATGTGGCCTTTATGGCATTCCCACCACAGTGTGGGATCCGAGCCAGGCGTTGGCGGCACGCCCAGGTGCGGCTTCGGCCGTGCCAGCCTCCAAATCTCTGTTGTGTTGGTTGAAATCCTGGTCATTTGTTGTGTGGACCAGGGGGTGTGGTTGAACGCCAAGGTGAGGATCCGTCCGAGCCATCCACCTGCGGCCTCCCTCGTCTCCGGTCTTCTTGACTCTGTCTTGACACCGGGCCCAGGCGGGGGAGGAGGAGAGAGTGTAGGTAGATGCAGCTCAAGTCTACCCGCACTATAAACCCCTGCGCAAGTCACCGTCCCTGCTCCCACAATACAGTCTATGGGGCACACGGTGGACATCATCGAAATCTATGGTCGAACTGTCGTACGGTCGCGAATGGTGGCTCGTGACAAAACCGATCAAATATGACAGCAGTAAGCGGGGAACGACCGATACTTCGGTCCCTGCTGTTAGACGTCGGTCTGTCTCTGATAGACCGACATCTGATATCTGCTATCTCTGCCGCCTTCAAAGGGCTAAGCAGGACTTCCGCTGAACTTACACGAGAGCCAAATCAGGAGACGACATACGTTATTTGGGCTGTACACCTACAACAAATGTCACACAGGGAGGGAGTGTGATGGCATGCCTAGGCGCCAGCTCACGCCGCGCCGCTCTCCTTCGCCCGATCCCACCCCGAGTCTTCTCTATTTTATCTTGACACTGGTCTCACGTTGGTGGCCGGGAGAGAGCCCAGTAGATGCAGTCTAAATTCACCATCACTGTAGCCTGATTCACGCGCAAGTCACCGCCCGTGCACCCACCATGCTGCGGGACAAAAGATGAGCACCATCGGTAGCGATGATCGAGCTGTCTTAAAGCCAGGGTTTGTTAATTTACTTTAGTTACGAAAGACCTAGCATATACAACAGCCGGACAGAGACCAGTAACAAGATTTACGCAGCCCATAACCTTATCATTGCAGTCCAACTATTCGTGGGAAATGTAGCCATTTTTCAAAAATCGATCAAATTCTTCCTGATTAATACAGGATTAAGACAAATAAAGCAAATATAGCCATATAGTGTAAGAAAGACTGTTTTGCATGGTATGTCGCATTAAATAATCAACGTTCTCGTCGGTGGTTAACGGTATCAGTGTTTGTGTTTACGTAAGTTTCAGTGGTTTCGCAATGTTCACCATTACCGTATGTTTAATGCCAAAGTGGGCTAAAATTGGACGAATTGGGCACCTTTCTATCTCAAATTTTAGCACTCAAGGCACTGTCTGCTCTGTAGACAGAAATAGACTTGGATCACTCTAGAGTCAGCCGGTGGTGGCGGTCAATCTAAGAAGTGGCGTCTTCTGGAGGCTGTCAACCTATCACTTTCCTAGTCAAACCTAGTTTCTAAATGGAGTCTTTTTAGGGTAAAGACTAAGTGGAAAAGTAGAAGTTTTACAAGTATGCACGCTTTTTCGTGTGCACTGGAGTGGAGCGATCGATCCCCCGACGCCCTAAGATTTCTCTCATGTGCTACTGTTCGTATGCCAAAACCAACGATTTTCACGGAGCGTTAGCACTAGTGGTTCTAAATGCGAATTCTGTGTGCCTGTCTTCGTTAGTCCTGAGGCAATCGCGTTGCGGAAAAACCAAGGCGTGCACAAAGCCTCTCCGCGTGCAAGGCTGGGAATATGACGCATATAAATAGATTCCTCGAATAGTCCTCTTGGAGACCTCCTGTTAGGTTTACAAGAAGTCTTATTTCAGCGAACAACAGTAAAACACATATGAAGACCAACTGACCCAGCATTTTGATCTTGGATGACCGCATACTTCATTGGTCACTCGCGGTAGGAGGATTTTGAAAACCAAGAGAACTTCGCTCAATCCAAAGTCTTCTAGCTAGAATTAAATTTGCGTGCTCTTGGAGTTTGTGCCGAGCATGTGAGGCGTTTTCCTCATTTGTGCCATATTTGCGAAACAAGACATATTCTAGCTTACGAACAGTCGGTGTTGGTTCATTGGATATGCTGTCATGCGACTGAAGCTAGCTAGCACATATGGACTCGAGTGGCCGTTTCCACATTCTGACATCGTCAGCTGGTTTGGTCCCAGCCTTTATTTGGGAAGACCTTAAAT